TCTCAGAAATTTCTACAAGGGTTTTGCGAAATCCACTCCCCCCCCCAAGCTATGGGGCAAAACGAGGTCTGTAATTGTTCGATTCCACATAGGTTTATGATTTTTCACATAAAGTGAATTTCTACAAAGGTTTTGCGAAATCCATTCTTCTCTTCCCCCCCCCTCCTCATGCTAAGGGACAAAACAAGGTCTATAATTGTTCGATTCCACATGGGTTTACGATTTTCTACATAAAGTGAATTTCCACAAGGATTTTGCGAAATCTTCTCTATCGTAAAACCCTTGTGGAAACTCACTTTATGTGGAAAATCATAAATCGAATCGAACAATTATAGATTTTGTTTTACCCTTTAGTATGGCAGAGGGGAAGAGTGGATTTCGCAAAATCCTTGTGAAAATTCACTTTATGTGGAAAGTCATAAACCCATGTGGAATCGAACAATTATAGATCTCATTTTAAAATAAAATTTATACAATTCCACAAATATTTATCCATGGTAAATGTTAAGTTTAGGGGCCTGTCGTCCGATTTCAATAAAATTAGGCTCATTCGACGCGTTTTGCACGAAACGAAAGAATCGACTGAATGTACCGACACAGTAGCGATATGCGCATGCGCCATACACGTGCGCATGCTCCGTGGCAATATGCGATGCATTTCGCGATCAAAATGGGTACGAAATATGAAATTATGGAAATACATACGAAACATGAAATAAATATAATGACATAATGAGTAATCCGTGATATGTTCTACGTCAAATGAGTCTAATTTTATCGAAATCGGATGACAGGCACCTAAAACTTAACATTTACCTTATCCATATTTCAGGTGAGGAGTCTAAACTGTATAATTACCCTCGCTTTTGATATAGCCTTATGAAATGTGTCACAAGATCCGCAAAATTGCTTGTCGTTTATCTCTGAGATAAACTTGTCTTATCTCTTATTACGTTTTTCTGTAAGTGATAGATGCCAAGCATAAACATATATTATGGCCGGTATTCATAGTCAGTTTTCATATTTAAGATCTTAAATAAGCTCGTACAGCTATCCTATTGATTGAAATGTTATCTTAAGACGATCTTAAGTTAAACATGGCACATAAAAAAACTTAAGCAGTAAGGCCCGATTGCACCAATGCTATTTTAACTTTAAGTGGGACTTAAACTCTTAAGTCTGTTGCAAAGTATAAATAATACTTATAGTGTTCTTGCGTTTATTTTAAGCGGTAGTTTCAGTACTGCTTAAGAAATATTAAGAAACAGAAATCTTATCATTGGTTGTCACCATTATTCGCGCGTATTGTATAAATTATATATTGGAGGTTAATCAGAAAAATGGATTTACATTTCGATGTATTAAAAGATGGTGATGAATTAGATGCATTCGATCTAGTTGTTTACGAGATATCACGAAATATACATGTGCGTGCTAATTATTTTGAAAAATATAATGATTTACATTTTTTTCGAAGATTTCGATTACAGAAACATTCTGTTTTATATATATATACTAGAACAGATTGAAGATCGTCTAAATTATGCACATAACAGGTAAAAATATCATATTCTTATTAGTTTTTAACATTTATTATTTTAAAATATTTTTAAAATCTCATGCACACTTTATTACAAAATTGTATTACAAATTACAACATATAACAATTATAGTGTATGTCAATTACAATAATTAGCAAAAAACGAGTAATTTTCTAATTTTTTTAGAAATAATCCGATAATTCATTTGTGATAGTCTTCCAAGTATTACTTTTGTATTACCAAATATTACTTTTTTCCTTCCACGATATTTTATCTGTTTTTTTGGATTCAATTTTTATATTTGCTAATAACATTTATGAGAACAGCTTTTTCCTCTGCTGTGTAATTTGTGCTACATATTCTCTCTTTCTCTGATTCAATTTCCTCAGTCATCTATAATTAATAAAAATAAAGAGATATGACACAACTAAAATTTATATGTATATTAAATAAATTAAATCAACTTACGTTTTTATTATTATTACAAATCTCTCTTTCTTCCTCCATCTTTCTTGATCAAAAATTTTCTATTTTTTTCACCGTTTTCTTAGACACACCAGTTTTTTGCAATTTCTTAATATAATAATTTAATTATTAACAAATAAAAATAAATATTTGGTTTTTTCTTGCGTCCTTGCGGTATCTATAACTATATTACAAGTTATCTTAAATTATTGAAACATGAAAAATTACTATTAAAAGTTCCACTTAGACCAAGTAATATTTTCGTGGCATTCGTGCAATGCTAGCAAATTTTAAGTAACACTCTAAACCTTAACTAAGCGAAGAATTGGAATGGCGTTGATGCAATCGGGCCTAAGACTTAAGCAGTAAACGAATTAGCCCGGCTATGATTTGTTGCAGTTGCGTAAGATTCTTGCACGATGTGGCAAGAGCGGGAAATACAAATATAAAGTTGTGGAAAAAGAAAGCGTTTTCGAATCACGTTCGTTTTCTTCTTCCTATAATGGCTCATGTTCAATTCATAACCATCTGATTTTGAAAGCTGTCAATTATTAAGATACATGCGAAATCGTTGAATGTAAAAAGATTTAAATTGTTTAATTGTGTTTTATACTTTTATCTGCAGATAATTAAGGAAAAGATTTTTCAACGCAAAGATGTGCTTACAAAATCATGCGACGTTGACTTAGTTACAGAATGGGATCAAAAGATAGAGAAACTTTTAATCGATGGCATATCGTCCAAATATCCCGACCATAGGTAAGATTACATTTGAATAACTAATTACTAGTCATATATATAATTCTCGATCGGCATCTTTTTTAATGAATGTTGTCTATAAATTACAAGTCTAAATTCATATTACCATATGATAAATCAAGATTCTTATGCCGCTCAATTTTAATCTCTGAATCTTTTTTGACAATAATGGTTATAAAATCTTATAATATTAAAAGTGAACATAATTCAATGACATAATAGCATAAGAAACATTTTAAAATAGTAAACTATTGAAAACATCAAGAAAAAAGTAGTAGTAGTAATGGAAAGGAGAAGTATCAAAAGTATTTGTTTCGATAATATTAAAGAAAAGTTCAGAATTTCAATATCTATATTTAAAATATGCAATAGATTTATCGGCGAAGAGAGCACTGCTTCAGATCAGAAGATAAAATTAACAGATGTTCCGACGTGGGTAATTGATCCTATCGACGGCACGATGAATTTCGTTCACGGTTTACCGCACACGTGCATCTCAGTTGCGTTGCTTATTAATAAAATAACGGAAATAGGAGTAGTGTATAATCCTATCTTGGAGCAGCTTTTTACTGCTCGCAAAGGTCAGGGTGCTTTTCTCAATGGCGCTCCGATTCATGTATCTGACGAAAAGGGTAAACCACTCTTCATTTTTAATTAAAAATAAAATATTGATAGAATATATAAATAATCCTCCATTTTGTAAATGTAGATGCACTTGCAATCGAAATACACAATTCTATTATTATTCAGATCTTTAGACTTAGGATTAGGGTTAAATACACGCACACGCACATAAATCGACATTGCCTTCTAATTATTTTAAATAATGATTGTTATCACAGAATTGAATAAGGCACTGGTAATGGTAGAGATAGGAACCAGCAGAGATCCAGAGAAATTGAAAATAGTTTCACAAAATATAACGCTCCTTACAGCACGAGTTCATGGGTAAATCATATTTATGAGCTATATTTCTCCATAAAAATTTTATGTAAATTTATTTACTTATCCTACAGAATACGATCATTCGGTTCGGCAGCTCTGAATATGTGCATGGTTGCTCTCGGTGGAGCTGACGTTTCTTTTGAATTTGGTATACATGCGTGGGACATCGCAGCCGGAGATCTTATTGTTCGAGAAGCTGGCGGGGTGTCAATAGACCCAGCTGGTAAATCATTGCAAAATATAATACATAAATCATAGCTAAGATTGAGTGTATGAGATAGATGTTAAACTAATATAAAATTAATTCATTATTCTTACATTAAAAGGAGGCCCATTTGACATGATGAGTAGAAGAACATTATGCGCATCATCAATGGAGTTAGCTCAACAATTTTCCAAAATATTAATCCAGTATTATCCAGAGCGAGATTAAAAAACTTCAAAGTTTTATACGGAAAATCATATTTCTATAGAAATGAAAAATTATATCTCTAGATTCCAAATTACATTATTAAAAAGTAAGTATTGCCTAAAAGAAAAACGATGTAAATTCAAATTATGTGATTGTAAAATAGATGTATTATTGGGTATATAATTTTATTAAATTTTTTCAAAAAATATTGATAAAATTATGAAGCCCTTTTAGAAACACTCAAATTGTATAGGATAGCTTATGAAATTAATTGACAAGTTAATTCGCTTGTAATATGTAAAACCAAATGTAGATGCAACAGTATTGATATATATTGTTATATAGATGAAGAAAATAATAATACTGAATAATTTATTAATTATATAATTATGTATCATAAATAGAATTTCTTATTATTAATTTCAAAGAAACTTAAAAGTATTATATATATATCTTGTTGACCTCATTTTGTATTATATATATATAATTGTTATAATAATAATATATAATAAAACAATTTTTCATAAAAAAGGCAAGAAATATATTAATGGCTAATACAATTATTTTTCATTTTTCCTATTTTGCATATCTTTTTCAATGTGATATATAGATTGTTCTTTTATATCTTATATTATAAAACTCCTCATACATTCGAGCAAAAATAATAAATTCTAAAATCGAAAGGCAAACGAATACAATTATTAAAAAATATCTTTGTATATTTGATAAACTTTATTCATATTAAAATATTTTTACAATTTTCGGAGGATATTTACGAGTGAGAGAGAGAGAGAGAGAGAGAGAGAGAGAGAGAGAGAGAGAGAGAGAGAGAGGAGAGAGAGAGAGAGAGGTGGGGAAAGGAGAGAAACAAAAAAAAGAGCGAGATAATATTTCTAGTATAAATGTATTTATCGCATCTATTTTTTTGTTTTTACAGAGTGTAGGCTTTAAATATCTGAAAACTCAAAACCGAAAATATTAGTATTATATAAAAATTTCATTTCATTCACTTATTTACTACTTTAATTTTAACAATTTAGTTTGTAACAAACGATTTTATGAGAGAAAAAGATACGAATATATCGTTTACGTTTGTAATAATATCGCTTGAAATTTTCACAATCATGTACTTTACCTGTGTACATACTTACGAATCCTCGATTGTGATCTCAAGTAACTTTAAGAGAAACCTTAGTGCGCGGATATAAATCTAGTTAAACCGTTGTATAAACCTTGTTGAATTGTTTAGCGATAGTGCATGTATTTTTATGCGGCAGACACGACGTAGGCACAAGTATATTTTTCCTTCCTCCTCATCAATCGTTTTCATCATCTCTTCCATTGCCTCCCCTCCTCACAGGGAGGGCTACAAGTGAAACATTACCAAATTGCCAATTAGAACGATACATATACTTTTTTTAATCGTAGTTTCATAGTATACTTTTACTTCTGTATTGAAACATTCCCGACAAACTGTTTAATATTTTTTCCTGTTTCATTCACATTTGTTTGACTTTATCGATATTTCATTACGTAGTAGATTCTTTCGTTGAACAAAAATACTAAGTCGCATGTACATCGCGTATTAGTATCGATATCGTATTAGTCGACTATTGATTTGTCACGTTTTACTTTTCAAAGTATTCAAGTATTTGATTTTGACCTTGACAAACAATTTTGGGAATACTCAAACATTATTGTAATTACATATAAAAATCTTAGCAAATCGAAATTTTATTCTATCTCGCCTTGAATAAAATTCTCTTATACTATAATAAAAAAATTATTTAAAATTCGGGTTAAAAAAGTTATTTAAAATATTTCGGGTTATTCTGTGATGTTTGACTTATGACCTTATTACTAAACTCTAGTGAATGTATAGATTGAAAAGCGGATATGCTAAATATTCCAGGCAATCCCCCATGAATACCTTGTAACGGGATCGGCGCTAAGGGCCCTTGAAAGGTCCGGCCGCACTTAACGATGATTTGAATTGAAGACGCATCTGAAACATAAGCAGTCTCGTACAATCTTGTCATATTTAAGATCATGCCATGATCCATTCACAACAGTATCGATATTACATTTTAATTTCAAACAAATAAAAATTTTTATTTTACAATTTGATTTTAAGAGATTAAGAGATTATAACGAATATATAAAAATTAGCAACTATGCCACATCTGCAGCAATGTGACTTTTGCTTCAAATAAATTGTAATATAATATTTCAATAATTATTATCTCGCATTATAACACCATATCGCTTTTATCTTAAAATTTTGCGTCGCAAAAGTAAATATACTTATTAATATGACTTTTTATCTCTGTTTAACATTATAAATATGCTTAATATAATTGTGAGTTAATACGTGAGTAAATACATGAGTAAAATATACAAGCAGTTTCATCATCGTATAATTAACTATGTATTTGTATTGATTTGTATTGATTATTATTAAATATTAATAAATACACGTATCGACTGAAACATGCGTGTGTATACATATGTATATACATAACATGCATATACACACGTTATCTATCTCTATTATCTATGTCTATTGTATTGTCGCTGTTATAAAAAGTTTTATTAAATCCTATTGATATTTAATCTGGAACGCTCTTTAAATTTCAAAAACAAATGAAGAAAACATACACAGAGGCAGAGAGTATTAAAAAAAAGAGAAAAATACAAATACTATGAAATGTTTGGACTAAATATATTCATTCATGATTTAAGAAAGACAAAATGCAGGTCGTTCTTCTCATTGTGTTAAGCATGTGTTATTTTATTTCAATATAACTGACCTATTCGCTATACAATTTATCTTCCAATTAAAACAGATTTCTTTGCCATTAAGGGTTTTAATGCTGTATGTGCACGTATGCTCGTATGCTCGCTGATGAGATACTCTAAAATGGATCGAACAATGTGATCCATATGGACTTACAGTTCTTTGTATTCATTCATATATACGAATCTTTCTCGCTTTGTGAGAATATGTAACGTACAATTTCATATGAACGCATGATTTATAGTTATTTCATGAAAAGGATTCTCATAAGGATGTCTTGCTTTCCAAATCAGGAGATATGGAAAAAGGAAATTGCTACCTACCAATTTTAGATCATAAGTTTTGAATACCTGATGCCAGTTTGTGCTGAAAGAGGCGGTTGTGTTACTTTTTAATTCACATTTTGCATTTTTTTTACAAATACAAATAATATAATTATACAATTGACAAATTTCTAGTTTAAAGGAAATTAATACATACAATTTGAATTATTATATTCTCTGTATTCAGAAGATACTTATTAATATGACAGAGATGCACTTCATTACAATGACGAATCTGTATAGAGATACAATCTATACATATAATAGCAAAATTTTATTGTATTCACATAATTATGATATTGAATATAAAAATATTGTATTCTTTGTTTATCTAACAATAAGCATATGCAATGAAATATAATACCTTTATTAATTTATATAATACAGTCCAATACTTTCAAATATATTTTCCTCTATTTTGCAAGGTTCTCATGTTATATAAAATAACTTGAAAAAATTTTTTGCACCGCCTCTTCCTGCTAAATAAAATAAAAAAAATAAAAAAAAGAAAATTGGATAAAGATATAAAAATAAAAATATTTGGGATAGAGAATGAACAAGAAAACGTGTGAGAGAAAGAGATAGAGAAATAGAGAGACATACCGCACTTTTATCAAGTGACGTTTAACATTAATAGAAAGGATTGTATCGTTAACGATATTATTTTACAAAGTTACGTCAGTAAATTTTTCGATGCTAAAGGACCCCAGACAGGGTTACCTATATTTTTTCTTGTATAAAGGGATGCGCCAGAGCATGATTCACAGTGATTCTCTTCCCTGCGTCCAACATTAATGTTCGTTCGAGTAAATCCTTTAGTTGTCCAACTTTGCGATTCTGTTCTGGTGGTAAAGAATTTCCACCGAGTTCTACACCGAGATCTCGAGCCGCTGGTAACGTCGACATTACGACGACTTTTTCCTGGAAAGCACGCCACTTAGCAAGTCTCATTTCAGTGATTTAACAAATGATGTAACATTATATGATATTATATATTAATCTCTAATACTTGTTGATTTACATCGCAACGCGTTGCAATAGAACGCATACAAGACAATACGTGTCGCAGCGTCATATGCAGCGATATGATTCTAGACTTTATTGGATGCTTTCCATTTACTGATAAGTATCGTTTTTATTCTTACTCATTGAAAGAGTTAAGAAAGATAGAACAACATTTGTGTCGACTTGTGCCACTAAATGGAAAGCATCTATTGTGAATAAAGTAAAACAGACTCACCCGTTCCGTAACTTTATCAACTTCATGATACAGGAAGTTGCAATTACTGTCAAAATGTTGATCTTTGAACGTGCCTTTCCTAATTAGCTTGTTTGGCATTTTGCCTTTAAGATCCATGAAGTACTTTAACATTTGATTATTCGTTTTTCCCGAGAACATTATTTTTCCCGTGTACAATTCGTATATGGTACATCCCACGGACCACATGTCAATACCAAAATCATATGGTATACCAAGAACTAGAAAATAACAATGTTACTTTCGATTCTAGACATTTCAAATTAAATTTCTGCCATCTTTTTCAACGTCGAGAATGCATGATCTGATAATTATAATTCACTTATCATTGCAGTTCTTTTTTGTTTTTAATGAAAATGGTATAATAGCATTCAATTATCCAAATTTCTTGTTGCTAAATGTTTTGTATATGCGTATATACATAGATGAGATAGCACGCACATACACATCTCGTTACAATAATAACTACTTTCAATTAAGTATGGCGCGAAACGATGTTGAAGCTAATACTCGCGAAGTCGCTGTGCATGATTCGCTAGAAATGCCTGTTAGATATTGCGAGATATAAATCATCAGTAAACTAAATAATCTAAGATCAACAATGCTAACGTAACGTCATTAATTAAGGAATGTTACATTGATGTCTGCGTTTATCGAAAGCAATTGTGGTAATACGCAACGAAGGTTTCTGAATGCACATGGAACAAAATTGTATTTATAAATAATATATTTAAAAGACCACACGTACGCACGCACGCGCGCACGCGCGCGCAAAGGGGGGGGAGGGAATAAAAAGCGAGTGACACTAACTTTGTAATAAAATACTTACTTATTTCGGGCGCACGATAAAATCTCGAAACTAAATATGGTGTTATTTCATTTTCATGAGCGTGTGATGCAGAACCGAAATCACAAAGTTTCAGCACTAGTTTGCTTTCACTGACTAGAATATTATCTGGTTTGATGTCAGCATGCAGAATATTCGCACGTTTTAATAACTTTAGTGCTAGAAAAAGTTGCTGCGTATACGATCTTACCGCTTTAACATGTAAACCAACATCTTTGCCATTATTTTTTTAAAACCTGTCATTTCCAAAAATACAATTTTCATGACATTACTTTAGTCAGCTTTAGTCGTAAATAGATTTTGTTTATAATCAATTATATACATACCTCTCTTAAATTCATAGCTAAAGGTTCAAAAACCATACATAAATGATTTTTGTGAAAGAAATGCCTAAATAGACGCAAACAGTGAAATCTATCTTCTGGATCGGCGTCATTCAATTTTCGGAGAATTTCTAATTCTTTCAAGCCAGTTCTATGCCTATAAATGTAGAAAAAAAAAAAAAAAAACGAATAGCATTACATATTACTGATTGGAAATTATGAATACACTTACATTATTTCATTGTTTCTTATAATCTTTACAGCTACGTCCAAGTTTCCTCTAGCACTGTCTCTTGCTCTTACAACATTACTGAACACTCCTTGTCCTGTATATCCGTAAACTACATATCGTGCATCTAATGTTTCTCCAACACGTACTCTAAAAAAGCGCATCAGTCGTTATTGGTTTCTAAATTGATTAGCTTGTGAATTAAAAAAAAGGCACGTGACAAAAACATAACTCGTAACTATAACGTAACTAACCGATAATATCCTTCGGCGTCGTCCCAATTATCCGTCAAACTAGGATTATCTGGTCCTCCTTGACGTTTTCCCTCAAGTGTAGGGCTCTGAATAAGAAATTGGATAGTAGATAATTAGAGGGTATGAGAGAGGATAACAATAAAGTAAATAAAACTCAAATAGAAAACATACATTAAAATCACCAATATTATCTGCTTCTGCAAACATGTCCCATTCATTGGATTTTTTGGAAGTTTGCTTTTCTTCCTGTTTAAATCTTTCAGATATTTTAATATTCCCAGTTTTGTTTGATTCATTGGATGGTACATCCTCGAATCTAGACTTTCTTTTTTTAGCTGGAGGTGGAGATTCTAATTTTTCTATAGGCAGTGGTGGAGTGTGGCTCTCCAAAATGGATTCATTATTATTGGATGGTATCCCCATAGATTTTTGTGATATATTAGATTGACTTTCTGGAGAACCAACGACATGTATATCAGCAGACATGTTAGAATCTTCATTTGGTCCACTCAGTCTCTATAGAGAAGAAAAATATATTCATTCATTTATATTATAACAGATTTGATAAGATAATATGTATATAATAATTATCGAAAATATATTATTTACTTTGAGCAATTCTTCTCTTTGTTTTCGTCGACGTTCTATAATCACTTCCTCATCTTCTTCTTCCTCAATATCAATATCTTTGATATCCTCTTCGCTCGAACTATCTGAATGTTCTATTTTAAGACCTTCCGATAAAGAATCTTTGTATTTATCATTGCGTTCTCGTTTATTATTTCTGTCTCTATCTTTCTCACGATCTCTAATATGGTCCCTGACTTGTTGCTTGTCTCGATTTCTGCGACTTCTAGAAGGCGATCTGGATCTTTTATATCGATCATTTCGTTCTCTTTCTAATCTAGTTCGAGTAGGACTACGTGATTTTCTCGCAGTACTGCGAGACTGAACTTCGATTCGATGATCGTGATAGCGGATTTCTCGTCGATCGCGATTATCATCATGACGATCTTTATTCCCATATCGATCTTTACTTTTACTATCCCTCTTGTCGCGACTAGCATGACGGCGAGGCTCCCTGCTTGATAGTCTATCACGACTGCGTCGATCATAACTGTGTCGATCACGACTGTCTTGACGTTCGCGACTTCCTAATCTCTCACGACTTTTGCTGTCCAAATTTTTGGTCTCGTTATTACAAGTTTTTGAACTATGACGAGTAAGCTGCTCTCGTTTTCGATTTTCTTCTCTAGATATTAAAAATATCTATTAATAAACCGCTAATAATTATAATTGTCGATGTATATGATTACATTATATGATAACTTACCGTCTATCTGATTCCCTTTTTCGTGTCTCGTCTCTTTTTAATAAATCCTTACGTCTCTGTGGATCATCATCTGTTTTTCTACTGCTAAACTCATCTTTTCTAATATTTTCTTTTTGTCTTTCGTTAACTTTTCGTGAAGATCTGTCATCTCTTCGAATTTCTTCTCTTTTCCCTTCCTCTTTAAGGCGGATTTTTTCATCTCTTTTCTTATCGAAGTCTCTTCTCTTATCTTTATGCTGTTCGCGAATTTTTCTATCTCTAGTCATATTAACTACAACACGTCTTTCAGCTTTTATTACTTTCTTGTTGCGTTCTCTACTGCCTGATTTGCTTCTACCTCGTTTCTTTGATGTAGCCTCGATATCGCTATCATCTTCCACAAGTATCACATCAGGTGTTTCGGTTATTTTTCTCTCTTCTTCTTCTTGTAGCTCTTTATTTTCACCCTTCTCGGATTCATCCGAAAGATATTGTACTAAACATGCTTGCAATCGTTCCTATGCACATAATACATTTGTAATAAGTAAAATACTTATATAGGATATCTTATAACAATCACTATTAAATGTAGATTATGTAGAAGATTATAACGTATATTATTAAACATCAGATAATACATACATATTAAGATATGTAGCATACTTTATATTTTCACATTTCCTTTAATTTATTGCATCTCAAAAAATAAAGTATAAAATATAAAAAATAAAAATATAATTTCTAATTAAAACTATAACTTGTAACCTAAACTTTTACCTACTTTTTGTTTCATTAATTCTTCAAGGTCAATATCATCTTCTATGATTGTACAATCTACTTCATCTGAATCAAGATCAACTAATTTTTCATCTTCACTTTCTTCCGTAGAGACAACTTCTAATATAGATGTTTTTGTTTTTCCATTCATACCAAATTCCTTATGTATTACATTAGATATTAATTTCTCTTCCACAGTACCATTTCCTATATTTCTATCTCTTTTCTGTCTCTTGTGTTTCTTATGCTTCCGTCTACAAGATATTTTAACTTTGATTAATAATTTTATCGATTGTTTATATTATACTTTTTAATTATATTACCTTTCTTGTTTATCCAATCGCTCGTCTTCCCTTTCAATTAATTTTTCTTTCTTATGCTTATGATGTTTATGTTTTCTCCTTTTCTTCTTTCTTTGATCAGTCATTTCATCTGCATCAGAATCCAATCCTATAAGTTCTCCTTTACATTCGGAACCCTCCAAATCTGATGTTCTGTAATAGCATAAATGAAATGATAATTTTGAAGAAATCATCATTTTTTTTTTAATGAAATGAGAATATTCGTCCTCTCCCGTTTTTTCAACAAATCGAGGGCAAACTCTCTCTATTGAGAATAGTTGATAGTGTCATATTGAATACTAAATTCTCCCTTTTGTATAATAAACTTACCCCATGATAAAGTTAATAAACAATTATCAATATAAAATTACTACACACAGCAACTCCAATAATCTAAATGATTACAACAATCACAATTAGTAATGACCTGCAATGAATGCACACAACTACGTGAACTTCTCAGTGAGACGCCATTTTACAAGTTCTATCGCTATTTATGAACTATTTCATATCGATAATTTTCGATTCACGAAAGTCGATTTCCTTTTCGATTATTTCGAGATTAGATACATCGGCTGCGTTAAGGTCGTGGCACATAAAAAAACTTAAGCAGTAAAGGTTAATCTACAATGTGCTTTTTGCATTTTGTTTTGTGTCCTTTGAATCTTGTATTTTGCTTTTTATTTATTACTTATTTTTGTCGTATGAAGCTGAGAAACATTGCCATATACAATTAGTTTTTTCTGAATTTCCGAAGAAAAATATTACTTTATCATCCAATCATGAACCAATTACAGATCGATATTCATAGTCTGTTTTCATATTAAGATCATCTTAAATAAAAGTTTTAGATGCCGATGCAGCATCTTATTGGCGAGTAAAAAAAATTTGCGAATAATTCGCAAAAACTTTATCCACTTGAATTTCATCATTTTCTTTATCTGACATGTTATTATTAAATTATATCGTACTTTACATTCACAGAGCAATACCATCGTTGTGTCGTATTTAATAAAATGTTTCTTTGTTTTCTGTCGTCCGAGATAAAAGTTGACGAACTCCAGAAGAAACATGAGACAAGAAACATGATTGTCGATAAAACAGTACGAAGAGGCATAAAGGCAAAAAGCAAAAAACAGGAAACAAAGAGCGCATTGTAGATTAGCTTTAACTTTATTTAGCCTCTATGTCCATAAAAATGTGGACATTAAACTATATAGCTAATGTTCATGATATTGTAGGTAATGTCCACGATTTTGTGAGACAAGGATAGATAGAGATTGATCGTCCCTCTTTATCTAACTAAACTCTGTACTTTTGCATATAGCATGGAACAAAATTGTGAACATAGCACGAATGACAACCACACAATCTTGGACATTCCTACAGGACTACAGGATCATGGACATTGGCTACGTAGTTCAATATTAACGTTTTTATGAACATAGAGGCGCTTCAAAATAAAGTTACAGTAGAGATACTACAATCAGAGACTGGCTATGACTCTGATCCGCCAATCAGAAATTCTGATCCGCCATGTTTTGATTAAATCTTACGAGAAAGAAAGAAATATACACTATCTCACTCTAATCAATAGCGATATTTTTTACTTTGCATGTGCATTGATTTAAGTGTATTGTGCATGTGTATTGTGTATTAAATACGTAGAAAGCGTGATATATTATTAAATAATAGAGATGCTAAAATTGCAAAATATAATTATAAATTAATTAATTGTGATAAATCAATATAAAAAATGGGTGAATGTTCATTTTTTTACTTAAATTTTATTTTATATTGTAATAAAATTTGTTTATAATAATAATAAATATGTAATAATTCTTTCTAAAAAAAGGCATGACATCGATACTTGCATCTCTCGAAATTTCCTCGAAGTTTATTGTTGATGCTTTTCCGCGATTCTTTCCGCGGTTCTCTCGCTGCACTAACTTTGTGAATAGCTGTCACTGTATTGATTTCACAGAGGATCGTTTTGACAATTGTGTATCAAAAAGTTAAAAATATTAATAGTGTAACAGTAGTATAATAGTATTATAAT